ATTCTTTTCTCTACAATTTGTCCACACTTCTGGATATGATGCATCCTTGAAGAAATGGAAATTGTCCTTGTACAGAACTAATCGAAGTATTGAAAATACAATTCGAGCATATTTCCAGAGGAGAACACGTCTCCTGAGCGTTGCTGTGAATGTCGAATCATGCCCGAGTTGGGAAATTGTTATTTACGATTATCTGACGAGCTATTTGAAGGGTACAACTTCATTGAAATATGAAATTTCCACCAAGCGCTATCATCAAAACGATCACATATACAGTTATAATCTGTGGTATGTGGACTCTTATCGTGCTTTCAGGTAAGTTCATGCAGCCCTTTTGAGTGAACGAGTTCCTCGCAATTTTGGTAATATAGTTAGACCACATAACAATCATTCCAAATATCAGGGATTGTTTTCCAGTTTTCGATTTTCACGGGTTATAAATAATGTATTAATATTCAATGTAGAGGTCGGATGTTGTCATTATAATAATAATCGAATAATCGTCATATAGTTATGAAATATTATTTATGTCTTTTCACCTTTGGCAAGAAATTATGCAAGATTTCGTGGAAATTGTCCTATATTTAAGCCCTCTGTCGTGCTGAAAGTTATTCAAACCCTTATTTGAAACTGTAGATAGCTATAGGGTAAGTGCGCCTAAGTTCGGCATGTCCCAGTAGTCGGCAGTTTTGAAATTTAAACTTAAATAACTAAAAATGGAATTGACCAAATAATGAAATAATTGCAAAAAAACGTCAACAGTGTTCTCTGCTCTCTTTCTGTAAAAAAAAAAAAAAAACAATGAGCTCCGATCATTTATTACGAGAGAATAACGGTTGTCGTCAGTGAGTGTCTTCCAGCGCGTGCGATAGTGCTTGTTTGTAAAGAAAAAAATAGTGGTGGCGACAACTTAACAATCGATTTAAGTAAATTAAATTTAATACTTTTGGAATCAGAAATATTTTATAATGGTAAATAACAGTCTAAAGATCATTTTATGACTTAAAGAAAAATACATAATCAGGCATTTTTCACTTATATTATTTAATGCCGACATTAGGAACAGAAAAAAAGAGATTTGCCAGTAGTCGGCAGGGGGTGCCGATTACTAGAAAAATATAATTGTTGACCTATTTCACCAAAACTTGAGAAAAGTATTAAAAAATAATCCAAAAACTTCTCAAATAAAAAAATAGTTTTGGGTCGGCAGTTGCTTTTATTTGTGCTTTTTGACCAACTTTTCTAAATTAAGAGGGTTGTTCTTTAAATCAGCTATTTGACATTTTAGATAGTGGTGGCATTTAAAAAAGATGTTGGTTATCTAAAGGAAAAAGATCAATTCACAAATTCCAAATATAAGAAAGGTACTTTTTTATTTAATCTCATTTTTATTTTAATTGAAGGTAACCATACTATTCTTGATTTTCTACCTATATTTGGTTTAGAATGATAAATAAATAAAACGCTATTTAAAAACGAAATTAGTTAATTAAACTGTGAATTAATAATATAGCATTGTTTTATACTATTTGAAATAAAAAATATACAAAATAATATTTTTTTTTTTCGATTTGGTGTTTAAGTTACTGAAATACCATATGCCGACTACTGGCAAATAGACATGCCGGGCATTGGAAAATGGTGCCGACTGCTGGCAAAAAACTACTATTTTAGTAAAATTGCAAATTTTGCCAATTTAATAAAAACAAATTCAATTGTTGTTTATTATTTCAAAAACTAAACAAAATTTGGAATCTGAACAACTCTACTTTTCTGCAATTAAAAGATTTCATTCAGAATGTCGAAAGATTGAAATATTGAAAAGCCTAAAAGTGCCGACTACTGGTACACTTACCCTATATATAGTGGCGACAAACATCTGCATCGACGAAAATCACTTTTGCAATTTTACAAGTTCTGAAATTGAGAACAGTAATTTGAGTAATATGTATTTGTGCATTTATTTGTAACATGGAGAAGGAAGCGACATAGACCCATAGTTACTTTTGAGGATCTTAATAGAATCAATTTCTGAGTCGATCTATGCATGTCAGCCCGTCCGTCCGCCTGTCCATGTACATTGGTGAACGAAATGCAGTTCTCATTTATTATCCGATTGAGATGAAATTTTCCAAAAAATATTTGTTTGGCGCAAGGACGAACCCTTTTGAAATTGGTGAGAATCTGTTTACATTTAGATATAGCTTCCACATATAACTTCAACTGATTCCAGGAAAATTGTGCACCAAATGGACAATATCAGTCTAAATGACCTTAATTTTGGCACATCCGACCGAATTACATCAAATTTGGAAAAAATGGGTTCGGATATGGCTATAGCTCCCATACAATGTTTCATCCGATTTGGGATAATATGCACTCCAGAAGAATGATATTTGGTACCAGATAACTCATATCAGGTATATTGTACACCAAATTGGTAATATCAGCCAAAATGAACTGCATTTTGTCTATCTGATTTAATTCAACCTAAAAGCATATACTTCAAATTTTGTGAAAATAGGTTCAAATATACCTATAGCTCCCATATATATGTTTCATCCGGTTTGGAGTTTTAAGTCCCTCACATTCGTAATATGCACCCCACAATAATAATAATCTATGGTACCAGATATCAGATACAGCTCAGAAATAAAGTTTTAAAATTTCGTCAAGTCCTCTTCAGATTTCAATATAGCTCCCATATATATCTTTATCCGATTTCAGATTTTTTGTGGACCAAATGGCTAATATCATCCCAAATGGACTGAATTTTGGAAATTCCGACTTAATTGATCCTAAAATCAAATATTCAAAATTTTGGTTACAATGGGTTCAGATATATCTATAGCCCCCGATTTGGTGTTTAAGTTCCTCATATGCATTCGACAACAATGATATTTGGAACCAGGTATATTATAGAGCTTCGAAATACCTTTGCCAAATGTTATCGGTTCAGATTTGGATGTAGCTCCCATATATATCCTTAATCCGATTTTATGTTTATTGTAAAACAAATGGCTAATATCAGCCCAAATGCACCGAATTTTGACTCTTTCCACAGATTTCGCCCTAAAAGTTTGTGTTTTAACCGATTTGGTGTTAAAGTTCCTCACATGCATAATATTCACTCCACAACAATGATATTTGATACTGGGCATCAGATACTGGTCGAAAATACCCCTGCAAAATTTTATCGAGATAGGTTCAGATTTTTATATAGCTTCGATATACATCTTTATCCGATTTTACGGTTATCGCTCACCATATATGTAATATCAGACCGAATTGAATAGATTTTTTCATATTCAACGAATCATTTGGTGAAACTCGGACCGGTATATCTATTGCTCCAATAAATATTTTTATACCTTCCACCTTGGAAATGAGGGTATATTAACTTTGTCATTCCGTTTGTAACATCACTAAATATTCGTCGTAGACCCCATAAAGTATATATATTCATAATCAGCATAAAATTCTAAGTTTGTTGAAATCACGATACAGCAAGCATTATTAGGCACGGACCGTTAGGAGAACAATTTGTATTGTTGTGTCTAGGATGGTTGGTATATCGTTTTGGTATAGTCCCCATATAACTGTACCTCCCGATATTCGGTGTTTTAATGATTTTTGCCACATTTTTTTAACGGATTTGTAAAAATATTGATATTTGTGGGTCATAATGGGTTCTAGCTCCGGTGCGAAACATTGTATGTATAGGTCTACGTTTTTGTATAGCACCCATATAACGGTACCTCCCAATATTCGGTATGTTGATGATTTTTGCCACATTTTTCCACGGATTTGTCTAAAAGTCGGTATTTGTAGTTCGTAACGGGTTTTAACCGCCTTATAATGGTACCTCTGGATATTCAGTATTTTGATGATTTCTGCCACATTTTCCACGGATTTGTCTAAAAAATGGTCATAATGGGCTCTAGCTCCGATTGTGCAACATTTTATGTATAGATCCACGTTTTTGTATAGCCTCCATATAACGGTACCTCCCGATTTTCCGTATTTTGATGATTTTTGCCACATTATTCCATGTATTTGTCCTAAAATTGGTATTTGTAGTTCGCAATGGGTTTTAGCTCCGGGGGCGGAACATAGTCTATATAGGTCCACGTTTCCGGATATTTTCTTTAAAAATGGGTATTTGTAGTTCACAATGCGTTCTAGCTCCGGTGGCAGAACATTATTTAGATCCACGTATTCGGTATTTTGATTATCCTAGTCATATTTACCCACGAAATTGTTTCAAATTTGGTATTTAAGAAGATTTCGTAGACGACAATCCTTGAAGTATAAAATTGCCTATATAGGTTCCCGTTTTGGTATGGCCCCCATATAATATAATATTAAAATTACTAAAATTTGTTTATTCCCTCTATATTCTCTATTTCAGTTCCCTGTTACCCATCATCGATGATTATTACGTGGAAAAAATGGGTAAATTTTTGGTAATAATGCAAACAGCTAAACATCTGCAGCGGCAACGAGAAGTGCAACGAATATTTGAAAAGGCATTCAAACGAAATATTGTCGATATTGTGGTCGCAATATATGCTGGCAATTCCACATTTCACTGGTATACCTATGACGTCTTTCGACCCGGACACTGTCGCCAAGTGATGCCGCGCAAATTTAATACCTTCCGCAAAGGAATATTGCAATCCAAAGAGATTTTCCCCAATAAATTGAAAAATTTCCACCAATGTCCGCTTAATATTGCAATGCGACCTCCGGTACCGGTACTGGGTAGGTCGAGTTATATGACACACGCACTCGACGAGAAATACTGGTGCATGCAAGGCGAAACTATACGTTTGTTGGCCAAGAAGTTAAATTTCCAAACAATTCGTCATCCAATTAACGAGAGTCTGGTCAGCGAGGTCTATAAAAATGGTACTGTGACTGGAGTATTTTACGATTTGAAGCAGAAGAAATTCGATATCCTTATGGGTTATTATAAATATTTAGCAAGGACACGTTACTTTGGCTCAAGTTCGGTGTACTTTCTTACGCCCACAGTGGTGGTCACTACGAAAAGGTGGCAACTTGATGGCGAGTGGCTGTTGGCACCTTTCGGTCCTCGCGTCTGGTTATTATACATATTCGCATTGACGCTACAAGTGATGGTGGTCCAGTTGTTGCGATGTATTTCGAAAATATTTAAACTAACCTGGTTGGATATACTCGGCTTGGCATTGGGCAATTCTCGCAATATCCAATACCAATTCCAAAGCACCCGATATTTTGTGATGCTCATAGCATTTGCCTTCATGGTTATTAATGGTTCATTTCAGGGCAAGTTGTATGCAGCCTTTCATCTGAAATCAAATCGGGGTCTTAACACGGTATCAGAACTGATTGCAAAGAACTACACATTTCTTAAGAAGAAATTTATTTTACAAGAATTGCTGGATGCTCTGCAAGTTCCACGAGCACAAATTAAGGAATTGAATTATACCGATGATTTCGAGAGCTATGAGCAAATGCTTGAGTTTAACTATCCAGTGGCCATGCTGACAAATTATTGGCAACATCAGGCCTTCATCAGAAGCCGACGTCTTTATGATGATTTCAATATTTTACCTGGCATCGTGGTGCTGAATCAAGTTTGTGCCTATACACGACCTCAGTCCTATTTGTTGGAGCCTTTTAATCGAATTGTGGATAATTTGAATTCGGCTGGTATTCTCAAGAAGTGGATGATGGATTTTTTGGGAATTTTCGATTCACAAGAAGAACTAAAAAATAATGACGGAAATATGAATATAACACCCATTGCATTGTCCTTGGAAAAGATACGTCTGGTTTTTATTGGTCTGCTGGTAATGCACCTGATAGGCGTCTTGGTACTTGTGGGTGAAATAATATTTAAGACAATTTTGAAGAAATAAAATAAAATATTCAATGTACAAAAACGATGTTTGCAAAATTTAAAATGTATTTTTTGACAAATTTTGTACTGGGAACAAATTTGTGCTGGAAAAAAGTTTTGCTTCTTCTAAACAATTTTAAGATTTTTTTTTAAATATTTCGACATCCTCATACTATAATAATGATTAATAAGTGATTTTCACTGTCGAAAGAGTAAATGTTACTGAAAAAGAACCCAGAGACATCCACATCCAATTTTTCTGTCCAAAACTATTCCCATATGTAAGCCCTAGGAAGCAGCAGTGACCTCAGTATCGAATTTCAGAATTTCAGGTATATCCCTTCACCCAATACCAACTGTAGTAACATTTACTTCGCATAACCCAAAACAATCCCCATCTCTCCATCTTAGATAACAACACTGATCCAAAATTAATACCATTTTTTACTTTTCGAATAATTATAGTACGAATTTGCAAAACAAACAAAACATCTCAACACCAGATATCAACAGAGACCTCCATATCTAATTTACAATTCCAGTTTTATCCTAAGAACCTATCCCATATTTAGTACCATACTTTTATACTACACAGTTATACTTTGCATATCCAAAGCTAACTGCTTCTCTCCAACGTAGGCACTATTTCTTCAGCTCTATTTCTTCAACCAATACCATATTTAGTACTTTTCGTACAACTATAGTACATATTTCCAAAACCACCTCCATATCTAGATCCGAAATACCAAGATACACTTCAAAATCAAACTTCGGTATTACAGGTCTATTACTTCGCCCAATACAAAGTTTTGTACCATTTAGAACTTTTCGTACAATTATAGTTCACATTTTCAAAACCACTTCCACATACTAGCTACAGACACCAAAAGCGGCACCTACTTTAAATTTCATGATTTCAGCTCTATTTCTTCAACCAATACCAAATTTTGTACTATTAAGTAATTTTCCCACAACAATAGTACACTTTGCTAAAACCACCTCCATATCTAGATCCGAAATACCAAGATACACTTCAATATCAAATTTCTGTATTCCAGCTCTATTCCTTCGCCCAATACAAACTTTTGTACTATTTAGTACTCTTCGAACAAATCAACTTCATATTTCCAAAACCACCTCCATGTCTTAACCACAGATGCCAACAGTGACATCCATATTTTATTTCGTGATTCCAGCTCAATCCCTTCACCCAATACCATGTTTAGTACTTTTCGTACAATTATAATATACATCTCTACATTTTCACCTGATATTGTACCATTTAACCACCTTCATAAATCAAACTTACTTTCCAACATTGATTCTAATACCAAATTTCAAGTTTTAACTCTATCCGTTCACATAATATCAAATGGTACCATTTTAGAAGTTTAATACTATTTTAGAATTCTTCGTAACCTTAAAGTTTGAATTTCCAAAAACCCATTGGTACATCTATCCTGCACTATATCAATGACTTGTATTCCGTTTGCTCAATACAAAGTTTTCAATTTTTTTGTGTACATTAAGTACTTTTTCGTACCCTTTCAGAACTCAGCTTTTTATCATACGCGTACACACCTTGTGCAAAATTTCAAGATTATTTCAAGATTCGCTCGTCTGAGCGTTCATTCTCAGTCAGTAATACATATATATAGGTGAGTAATAAGTGATGTTTCCTCCCGAAATTTTTAACTCAGTAAATAGGGTAAGTGTGCCTAAGTTCGGCATGTCCCAGTAGTCGGCACTTTTTATTTTTAAGCCTAAATAAATGAAACTATTATAACTGAATGTATTTTGTTTACTTCAAATATATTGTCAGCTATCTTTGTGTACAATTTCGGTAAGAAAAGATGATTTATTCTAATAAAAATTAAATTTTTGTCTGTGAAGATCCTCAACAATCCATATTCTTAAGAAAAGTACAATAAAGACGTCGAATCAGTTTAACTAAACAAACATATTATATTTTAATGAATTAATTTATTATTATTATTAATTATGCTTACAAAAAAATTGGTATGCCGACTGTTGGAACATGCCATACCGACAATTGGCATTGTTTTAATAAAACTACAAATTTATGAAATTTAATAAAAAGTTATTAAAACTTTATTTATTATTGCAAAAACTATACAAAATTTCGAATATGAATAAATTAACTTTTTAATAATTGAAAAGTTCCACTCAGAATGGTGAGCGATTAAAAACGCGAAAATCCTAAAAGTGTCGACTACTGGTACACTTACCCTATTAATTGAAAAGTACCCCGCAAATTTAAAATAAAAATATATATTTTTCATTAAAAACCGATTACAATGTTCGCTCGAATACGAGTAGAGAGCGAAACTAGCTCCAATTCGAGGGGTAGATTTCCTGCTAGCAATACTCGAGGATACTCTATTTTTCTATGTTACTCGAATAAGTTCGAGTAGGCTTTGCAACATATCTCTCAGAAGTAAAATATGAGCAATTGAATCTAAATTTAGACATTTGTCACATTATTGATATGGTACATGGAACATTTCCGCTATTCTAACACTGGAAATATGTCCCAGCAAATATGACAACAACGTACTTCTGCGTTACCAGTAAGTAAAATAATCTTACCAAGTAATGAGTAGCGACAGCATGGAGTATGCACGCCCGACTAAAAAAAAAAAACATGAGGCCACTGGTTCGAATCTCCGCTTCAGTAGTCAAACAAACCAAAAATAAGAAACTACAAGAAGGGCTAGCCAACCACTACCAACACAAAAGCTCTGATTTTGCATGTTTGAGACGTAATGAGACGTAATGAGACGTAAACATCGAGAGAGTAACTCTCCCTCCCTCGGCAAACATTGTGTGTGTAAATATAGACTAATGAAAATATAGACTAAGAAATGTTCTCACCGTTTATCTCCGAAAAAAATCGGATCGCCAGAGGTCGCCCATAGCATATGATCAGGAGTATGAGTGAAAATATAGAAGTCACTCAATTCTAAAATGTTAAGAATAGCTAAAACTGTAGAATATTTGTCAGTTGAAAATTGTTCCATAATAAAAACCAGTAAGGAAAGGTCAATAGTCGGGCGGGGCCGATTATGTGATACCCTACACCTCTATGCGTATTTAGTAGAACACCCGTAACAAAAAAGTCTATATTGGGTATTTATGTGAAGTAGATCATACCGACTATGACTTCGATAAGGCTATATCTAAGCTATATCTAAATTTCTCACAAATTTCAATAGGGTTCGTCCTTGGGTCGAACAAATATTGTTTGGAAAATTTCATCTTAGTCGGATAACAAATGCGACCTGAATTTTGTTCACAAAAATACATGGACAGATTGACATGCAAGGGGCTATCTGGGTCCACTCCTTCTGGCAACTCCCCCACAATAGGTCAAAATTTTCAAAAAAAAAAAAAAAAATTTTACTGCACAGAAAGGGAAAGGATCATCCGATTTTGCTACAACTTTGCAAATTCTAATATTTGCATAAGTGCGAGATTAGGTACGAAAATGAAAGATATCATCAGGTACACACCCCCCCCCCCCCCCCCACAAAGGGTCAAAATGTTGAATAATTATAACTCCAATAAAATGTGATATGATAGCCTAGTTGTCTTCAAGTTACACAGACATCCTCATGTTTTTATTAACCCAAGGTCTGGTGTGAAGATGGAATATATGGGTCTACTCCTTTTGGTACCTCCCCCACAAAAGGTGGAAATTTTCAAATTTTTCAAAATTTTTTCTGCACAGAAAGGGAAGCAATAATCTAATTTTGCAAAACCTAATAATTGCGTCAGTTCTAGTACTCGTGCCAAAATGGATAGTATTGGTCCACTCCATCAAGTGCCTCTCCCACAAAGGGTAAAAATTTTGAATAATTATTACTCTTAAAAAATATGACGCAAGAGTCGGATTGTCTTCAAATTTCACACATCGTACTATTTTTATGAAACCAAGATCTGGTAGTAAGAGGGAATATATCGGCCCACTCCTTCTGGTACCTCTACCACAAACGCTCAAAATTTTGAATATCCATGAAGTTCAGAAAAAGCGAAATCAACATCCGATTCTATTCCAGACATGGTACATCTCAATATTTCCATCAACACAAGATCTGTTATAAAGACGGTAGAGATCGGACCATTTCTTTTGCTACCTATCCCACATACGGTTCAAAATTTCGTATCTGACATTAATAAATATGACATAAATATTATATATATATATATATATATATATATATATATATATATATATATATATATTATATTTATGTCATATTTATTAATGTCAGATACGAAATGGACAATATTAATCCACTCTTTCCAAACCCACTGCATAGAGGGTCGAGAATTTGAAAACTCATAACAGAAATCAAAATATTTTAAAATAATCGAACATTGACTGAGGGTATACATCTGTCAGCAAAACCGACTGATACTTTTTAACTTGTTAGTATTTGATAGATTATGTAATGCTTACTTCAGAAATAAATCGAAAAATTAATATTAAAGTCGAAATCGAATTTTATGTTATCTGGTGAATTCAAAACATCATTATGTTGCGATGTTGAATGTACAATTCTTATCGTATTTTCGTATCAACAATACGTAGGCCTCCCACAGCACTCTCTTTTCATTTCATTGAAATTCAATGCAATAAACTACTTTCTCAAGGACAGAAAAATGTAACATCGAAAGTAAGCAAAACAGTTAGGGCGGCACTTCTTGAATCCACCCGCAATTATTTCGGTATAGGCGGCTCACCTACTTTGTTTGTCCATTAAAAATTTTAACAACATAATTTCGAAATATCAATACACCGTATTCAATTCCGCCTAGACAATATTATCATGCCTATTCATCAAATACATAAAAATCAGAATTCATCACCAATCGTATCTTCATCAATTGTTCGTATTTACCAATTGCTTCTCCAACGGAAGGCACGTTTTGCTCTACATTTCGATTTTTACCACGTCATTTAAGATCTGAAATGATAACCACATTTGAAGAG